GCCTCATTCATCTGTTTTGTTACTTCCTGTGCTATCAGTTCAGGGTGTCCAGGTGGTTGATTATCAGACTTTTCCACCTTGTTTCCCCCGGCGTTTACCCTTGGTGGGGTGGAAGTCTGAGTTTGTGCCTTGCTTAAATGTCTTCTCATTTTTCTTTTTGGTACTGTCCTTGGTTTAGTTCCTGGGTTGATATTTTGAAGTTGCTTATTGTAAGTATCTTTGTTGATGTATTTAGAGCCCCTATGGAATGATTGCTTCTCAGAGGTGTCTTCCAGATATAGCTAGTCTTTAGGTTTTGAGTCTCTAATGGCTCTGAGGCTCTCTCACTTTCATTATACCAGGAAGGACAACTGATTAGATCAATCACAACACCTTACCCCAAGTGATACAATCAGCAACACAATAGCATCAAGTACTTCTTAGAAAATGACAATTTGTGGTAGTTATTAATCTGTCACCTTTAACTGTGTGAATTAAATCAAAATCAAGGACCAACTCAACATATGTTTATAGTAAATAAACTCTTCAATATAGCAACTTTACCCTTTGGGATGGGGAGTTAGAAGGATTTGGGGAGGGAGGAATAGGTAAGTAGAAGGATAGGGGAATGTTAGCAGTGAGGCCAGATGGCACAGGCAAGAGAAGGAAAGAGAAGAAAAGAAAGATAAGGAAGAAATATGAATTAGGGGCAAAACAGGAACACAAAGGAAGATGAAGAACAATGTGGGACAGCAAGGGAGCAAGGCAGAGAGAGAGAGAAAAGAAAGAAAAAAGAGAAAAATAAAAATTTTAAAGGAGTAGTAAAGAAGAAAAAAAATTAAAATTAAGAGCAAAAAAATAGTGGTAATTTTGAAAATAACAAATAAAAGATAAAAATGAAGGGCCTCCTTCAGGGTATGTCTCTGCTATCACAACAGACAACGTGGGCAGCAGTGTGCAGTTATCAGTTAATGAGTCTCAGTAATCCAGTCACAGACTCATGAGATTCAGGCAGATTTCTGGCTGCAAGTCCCAAGTTGACCTCCCTGTCCTCCTGCAGGGTTGAACTCTAAGTTTCTTTAGCAAGTTTCCCCTGAAGATACTCTAGGTTCCAATGGGAGGTGATGATCCCTCCAAGTTACCAAGCATGGTGGTCTGGTGTGCCTTTATTGCAGAGATTCTCTTCACTTTTCCAGTGGGCTTCCATTTTCATCAGGGAGCCTGAGAGAGGCCCTCTCTCTGTTGTTCAATTCTGCAGCTCAGGCCAATGTCCTTTATGCTCCCCTGTGCCTCTACAATGTGGATCCTAGTAGCTGTACAGCCAAGAGGCCAGGGTGGGGGGCCAAGCTGGAGGCTGGTGGGCATGCCCAGGCATCCTCACCAGCTAGGTCTCCAGCTAGGTCTCCAGCTATGTCTCCTGCTAGGTCTCCTGGTCAAAAGAGCCTTCATCTCTTGATCCCTTTCTCATTCAAGAAACACCTGTTCCCTACTTCCTATTATCTATCTTTTATTTTGTTCTTTCTTTATATTTTGGCTTTCTCATGTAGGAGAAACCATGTCATGTTGAAGCTTGGGTATATGACTTATTTCACTTAACATTATAGTCTCATTCCTACAAATAATTCACATTTATCTTTCCTTATGACAAAGTAGTACTCCATTGTGGGTAAAATTTTCCTTATCCATTCATTTCTTGGTGGGCATATGGGCTGCTTCCAAAATTTAGCTATGAATTGTGCCACTATAAACATGGGTATTCATGGATCACTGTAATATGATGTCTTTAACTCTTTGCAGAAGATGCCTTAAAGAGGAATAGCTAGGTCAAATGGAATTTCTGGTTTTAGTTTTTTGAGGAATCTCCATGCTGATTTCCATAGTGGTTGTATTAGTTTTCATTTCCATCAGCATTAAAAGCTAACAAGGATGTTCTCTCAGACACTCATCCTTCTTTGTTTTACATCATTATGGGGTTTGAGAAGTCACCCTGGCTTTTACTGAAGGCAATAAAGGGTAATCATTACAAACGTGGATCACAAAACAAATCCTGACTCTGCCATTTATGATCATAGACATATGTTTCTGTTTTCTGAGCCATAAATGGAGATATCTTCTCCAGAAGGTTCCTGTGAGGATTAAATGAACTAGGAAGAGGATAACTGCACACAAACAGGGCTCAATAGTTGTGAGATGTTATTAATGTGTCCAGAGTTCTCCAGATATTTTATATTAGAGGACTAATTGCTCCACTGCCTTAAGGTTTTGAAATGAATAAGATTAAAGGATGTCAAAAGTCAAGACCAAAACAGGGAAGTGAGATCCCTGCCAACAATGTTGCCACTCTATGCAAACTTGGGTGAACCCTAACACATTTATGCCTACACAATTCATGAGTGCTATCTAAATGAACTCTCAGAGTTCATTTTAACTTAGAAAGAAAGCCTCAACCTAAGAGATGCATTTAATGTAGAATTTCAAGCTCTCTAAGGCAGGAGAGGAGAACCTTGTAAGACTCGAGAAAACTATGTGCTTCTGATGAGGTTGATCCTGCCTACTTGTACAAATCCAATTATTCATCTTGTCAGAGTTATGTTTTACTTGAAAATAGGCCTCTCCCTCCACCAGGTGTTCTCTAATTCCAACTTTTCTCTCTGAAATTTTGGGTCTAAGCATAAGCCTAAAAAATAACATGCCTCTTATTGGGGAGGAAAAAAACCTTCTCATGACTCAATTTCTTTTCTGGTATTATTTAAAGATATGCAATGCCTAGAGAACCTCCTGAGAGATGCTATCATCTATGGCCAACCTCGAACACACAGAGCTTGGAAAAAGATTCTCATCCTGGTGGAGGGCATCTACAGGTATGTAACCAACTGGAAGCTTATGAACACTCTGAGGTCCACAGCAAGCTGACCAGTGGGGAAAAGCTGGTCTTTCCCAGCTAAATGAAGAATGAGTTTGACATGGAAACTGTGGAGGAACCTAATAATGCTGTTAGTGTCCCATCTTTGTGATGATTGTATGCATATTGCAGTATACCTTAAAGATTTGGAATGTTTGTAAAGCCTTCCTCATAAATGTCCTCACAGCGCATTGTGTTGATTCTTTGCATCATCTTTGGCTGCCCCTGAGTTTCAAAGAGCTTTTATGGCTGGGTTATTCAAATTCATAATATTTCTTCCCATTATGTCTGTAGTAATAGGCTTTAATGGGCAGCCCTGATTCCCTAACTGGACACCTTCCTGGAAAGTGCATCCAGCCACCAGCTGCTTGCTGAACTTGGCCAATAATTGGCATCAAAATACAGAAAGTCTGTCTGTTTACCTCGGAGAGTAACTGAGTACACTTCTTTCTCTGACCTGGGGCCTGGGGAGTAGAATGATCTTAGCAAGTGAAGATATATTTAAAGTCAAATTTACCTAACTTTTTTGAGCTAAGCGGATAAAACACCCACTATGCCATTCCAAATTTCACTTTTATACTGCAATTTGGGATTGAATTTACTTCATGCTCTGAGTTGATTACCATTACTAAAATGGAAATTGCATCCAAGCACTTCTTCTGCTGGGTACCTTAGTCCATAAACCAAAGAAACGTGATGTCAGAGTGCCCACTCCTAAATCAGTGCTCAAACAATCCCAGCATTAGTGGAAACAAGGGAGAGATTCCCTATGATGCAATAATAGAAAAGTGAAACATATTTTACAAAGGAAGTGAGGGCTGTTTAACCTCCTAAGCTGGAGGAGTATGGCTACAAAGAAAACTTGAGAACAGAAGTAGCCTTTCTTTCCACAAATCACTCTGATCAGTCCCTGAGTGCATGAGTTACTGTCTTATGAGTGAATAACAAGTAACAGAATAAATGCACCTCCAAATGGAGGGATGAATTCTCCCAAATTTAAAATAATTGTAATAATAATAGTGATTGGTGTCATTTCTAGTTTAACTTTGTTACTAATCACCCAATAGCTGGATGTCCCTGGCTAATGTGGTATTGCAAAGATAACAGTCAAATTACTGGTAGCCCAATTTCTGTATCATTTAGCATTCCCTCATAAGGTCAGCCCCCAAAATATCCACTGTGTATGAAGTCTTTGGGATCACCCAATGCTAGTGGTCCTCAACTGGGGTGTTCTTCCACCTGCCCCCAACCTGGACTCATTTGATCATATTTAATTGCACAACTGCAGTAAGTTTCTGTTGCTACCTGTGAGGGGAGTCTAGGAACACTGCCAAATATCCTACAATGCACAAGACAGCCCCTCCACAACAAAGAATTATCTAGCTCCAAATGGCAATAGTGCCAAGACTGAGCAATTCTGTTCTGGACTATTACTCACTGGCTCTAAAATTTTAGGAAGCAATCTCATATTAAGTCTGTGCTGTAGTAACCTCAAGTATAGATCTTTCTCCTTGTGTGATTTGTGCCAGCTGCCAGCATGGAGGTATAATAGAAATATACAGTGAATGTTGAAAGCTTTGAAAATTTATTGCAATAAAAAGCACATTGCCATAATCCCACTTGCTTCAAGCACACTTATCCCATCATTCCTCCCACTTTATGAAGCAGTTCAGAAAGTCTTTTTTCATGAGTGACTTTATGGGGTGTGATCAAAAATAAGATGAATGCTGCTGTCAGGTGCCATCCAATGGAAAAGCAAGCTTGTAAAAACATTGCAGTGTTTCTTCATCCACCTTTTTCACCAAATCTGGCACCATAGAATTTCTGGCTATTCCTCAAAATCAAAATGGCTATGAAAGGTAAAAATTTTGAATGAGTTCAGGACATCAAGTCACCCATGACAGCACAGCTAAGGACACTCAGGATAGAAGATTTCCAGAACTGCTTCAGAAAGTGATGAGAATGATAGGATAAGTGTGTTCAAAGGAAAGAGGAGTATTTTAATCAGGATTAAAGGCAAAGTATCTTCTACTGTAATAATTTTTTAAATATAAGGATTCCTATAATTTTTATTTACACCACATACAGGGATGGGAAGATTTGGAGGCAGCCATGAGGGTGCAGTCTATCATAGTAACTTAATCATCCTGGCATTTAGACAGTCTCATTTTCCATAGACTTGCCTTCCCAGAAAGATTTCCTTTATCCCATCTGCTGAGGAACCGTGGCTTTTTGTGAGCTGAAACACTTTGTTTACAGAGAGGAATCAGAATACCTTGTCACTGGCCTCAATGGAACCTCAGTTTTCTCATCTGTAAAATCAGGCTAGCCTAAGTGGAGTTCCAGAGCCCTAAATCTCACTGAGAAAGACTTCATAAGAGTGTTCTACTTCACAGTTATACCAAAAGATGAAATTATTTCCTATAGGATTTCCCAAAGGGCCAGGCTTAGTAACGTGAAATCAGTAGTTCACAAGTACATTTCTGCTTTTGAGAGATATATCAGGGACATACACTCGATTGATAATTGCCCAAAGCTTCCTTTGAATTTTAACCACTAGGTGTTTTTCTCTTGCTTGTGGCCTGCCACCATGCACAAAATACCACCTCCACAAAGAGCTCATGTACAATTTTTTCATAATGCTAAAAGAAACATAACAGCCAAATCAGAAACTTTCAAGCTACTTTCAGCATAAGAAAGTCTAGGTACTTGGGGCCGGGGATTTAGCTCAGTGGTTTTGCTGCCTGCTGTGCAAGCACAAGGACCCAAGTTTGATCCCTGGTACCAAAAAAAAAAAGTCTAGGTACAAAGACTAAGAAGTCATAAAACTGTACAAAAGTAATAATAATAATAATAATAACAACAACAATAATTAATGTCACCATCCACAGGTGCTATTATTGTTATGTATAATATAAAACAGTCAGGATTTGGAGGCAGGTCTGGGACTGGATTCAAACCCTTGTGTGCCTGTCTACAGCTGTGTATTCTCCATAGGGCCCTTTTGTAAATATTAAGTGAGATCATACAAGGTAGTGCTTGACAGAGCCCTCGCCTGTAGAAAACAAGAAAGTGTGAATTGTCTTCATCTCGAGATTCACTTGCTGTCACTTGAGAAAATTGCAATTTGGAAACCAAGAAGTTGCTTAAATAACAAGGATTTGCTCTTCATCTACCCAGAGGGCAGCAGAAAAAAATCACCCATGTATCTACATTTCACATGTGCAATCTTGAAGAAACTCCCAGTCACCCTGAAGTTATTGTGACAATGCGGAAACTGAGGCTTAGAGACCTGGATAACATACCCTCACCCCAGGACAGATCAATGAGATGAGGCAGAACTGGGATTAGAAACAGGTGGCCTTAGTGGGACAAAGGCTCAATGTACATAGAAGAGTCAACCCACCTGTCCACATACAACTAAGTATGAAAAATGCAAAGTCACTCATTTGACTTTTACAATTATCCTATTTACACTTCAATTGCTTCTGTAAAATAGAGGGATAGAAACTCAGTCTAAAGTTCAGTGAACCCATGATTAGGGGATTATAATCACAATAGCGTTATTCTAATTTTCTGATACATATTTTCCTAGTGCTGTTTTTGCTTTGTCTTTGTTCATGTTTTGTATTTTTGGATTGATTTTTGGGTTTCTAGGTACTGGGGGTTGAACCTAGGACCTTTCCACTGAGCTACGTCCCCAGCTCTTTTTTATTTTTAAATAAAAAGGGTCTCCCTAAATTGCTAAATTGCCCAGACCAGGCTCAAACTTCCCATCCTCTTATCTCAGCCTCCCAGATGGCTGGGATTACATGTGTGCACCACCATATCCAGCTCCTAGATTTTTTGAAGTTTTGTGTATCTCAGAAGTCTAGATTTCTTATCAATTCTTAGTCCTTGAAAAATCTCAAAATTATTCAAAAATATACTATGAGAAAAGGGTGTCTCATATAACCTAGAGTATAAACTAGCATGGATGGAAGTCAAGCTTTCAAAATGCAAAGAATCAAAAGGTAATACCCAGCCCTTCCAAAATACACACACTAACATCTCTGAATGCCATATAGTCTAAGAATGGAGTGAGAGTCAGCCATTCTCCTCCCCAAAACACTGTAAATTTAAAGACTGAGAACTTCATTGGTGAACTCTATCCTATATTTCTATGATTTAGACACATAAAACAGAGAATAAGGCAGGAGTCATTTTTAATCTTCTCTCTCCTCCTTCTTCTTCTCTTTCATCTCCATCTTCTCCTTCTCCCCCTTCCCCCTCATTTCCTCCTCCTCCTCCTTATCCTCTTTCTTCTTCTCTTCCTCTCTCTCCCTCCCTTTCTCCCTCTCCCTTTTTTGTCTTGAGTTATGCCTTGGACCCAACAAGGAGATATTTCTCCCATGCAAATTGGATAATATGGTTTATATGTGGAAAAAAATGAGAAGAAATTTTTTAAAAGAGCCTTGTCACTTAGCTAATACATTATGTAATAGAAAAGATATAAAAAATTACTCACCAACTTGCTGGTCAAAGAATAATTCAAGTCCTTGCACAGACTTTCAAATTAAACTTACCTACAGTTGCAGTTCAGTTCCTTTTCTTTCTACAGAAGTTAAAAACACAACCTTCTATGGCCAGGGACTTAGCTCAATGGCACTATGCCTGCCTCACAAGCCTAGGGTACAGAGTTCCACCCCCAGTACAAAAAAAGAAAAAAAAACAAAAAAACACAGCTTTCTATTCAAAGAAGGAAGAATAAAATGCTATTCTTTTCTCTCTATTGTTTTTGGTACTTTTTAACAACATCAGAATAACATAGGTAGCATTTTTATTTATGCCTCAGACTTAATATCCCACTCTAAAAAAAGTTCAATTCAAATTTGATGACATTTAGAAAATGAAAACTTAGTGTGGATGAACATAACTCTATAAAAGCTGAGCTCTCCCTAGGAATTTCTGTTTGCCCCTGCATTAACTCTACAGTCATCAGTATTGTAGAGTCATTAATCTTAGAGAAAGAAATATAAACCTGGTGGGCAGGCTCCTAACATTAGCTAGAACAGCTCCATTGAAGGACAGTTAATTAGCTGCCCAGAATGTCTACAAACACTGTTCTACATTACCTTTGCCACCTACCAAATTCAGCTCCAGAACAAAGAATGACTATTTATGGCATGTCAGGTTTTCAGAATATTTGTGTTACTAACTTACAACATTTTACAAATGAGAAGAAAATTCTAGAACTCTGAGAGCCTGAAGCCATTTATTATGGTTGACAACCACAATGACACCCACAAGCCTCATTTCTAGAAAATTCAACACATCATATTCAAGGGCTCCCAATTTCTCAAGTTAGGCCTCAGTGCAACCATTTCCTCCCAAGTTTCTCCTCCCAAGAGCAACAGTAGGTCACTGGATGTGCATTATGGGGCAGTTTGTTTATATGCATGATTTCCAGCCATGATTAGAAAGGTCTCACCAGCAGGGCTCCATCACTGTGCTTATTGTACTTATATGAAGAAACTGAGGCAGAGGACATCATGAAAGAAGGTTGCCCGAGTTCACAGTTGGTGAGTGATATGGCCTCCATCTAAGCTTAGGCCATGCTACCTTCCCCAGAAGTGAGACAACTTTAGCAAGCAGGCAATCTAAGAAAATTCTGTAAGAGAAACTATTTGATCTCTATTTCACTAAAATCCAAACTCGGGCATCCAAGATGATCTTCTGAAACACACAGATGTTGTACCCCACAATCCTCTCTCTCCTAACTCCCACTGACTGAGTAGCTGTGCAACCAGCTGGACTGTTTCGACCAAATCAATCTAACACTTAGGTGTATTTCTAAAATTACATTACATTTAATATAAAAACTAATTAGGAAGAAGAGTGTTGAACTCTCTGATTCAATTGATAAGGTTTTTTTAGCTGAATTAAAGGGCTGCTTGAATTGTTTGACAAGCTCCTCTGGGTAGTGAATGTGTAAGTCTATGTGTTTTCACAGAACTCACCTGTGGGTCAAAACCATGTGCGGTATAGACACAGCTTACAAAGTGTTCTGAGAATTGATTTGAGGCAAAAGTTCTTTTAAATCTATTGAGTTCCAGAGGTGTTGTATAAATATAAATTTAATACTACTAATTGACTTTATATTTTTCTCTTCCCCAGAGGAATTAAATTGTTTTTGCAATTTACATAGCATGAGAAGTAAAACACACATAGGCCTAAAACAAATGAGTTTATCTGTAACTGTAGTCCTCAAAGTGCTGTTTCCAACCTTTGGAGCCAGCATCCCCCCAGGAGCTTCTACACATTTTCAATCACCCTAGACCCTCTGAATGAGAACCCTAGAGAAAGAGCCCAGCAATCTTTGTCTTCAGTCTTTCAGGGGATACTAGTGCTCATCCAACTTCTGTTCCATTTCTCTAAAGGAGCAAATGAGAAGCAACACCGCCAGTCTCAAATAAGACTTTGACTTGCAATTGAACAATGAATGTGGGGCCTAGAGACATTCTGTTACGGTTTTATTAATACTACAATATCTTAGATAAGTTCTTCCTTGTGTTTTTAATTCCCTTTTAAATCCTTGGCAATTCAAGAACTGAATTTAGATCAGCCAGACCCAGTCAAAGAGGTAATGGCAAGTAAATAAAAGTGGGCTCATGGCGCAATTTAATTAAAACTAGCAAAATGGCTGGAATCAAAAGCAGTCAGTCTAGTTACAATAATCCGCTTTACAAATATATGTGGTCAACAGTAGAGTAAGTTTATGGCTTACTTGGGAATTAGCTATAACAACCCACTGAATATAAATTATTTTATTGAAGTAGCTTAGATATGCCAAGCACCCTCACAAGATTGAAAGCATTGTCTTAGCCACGTAAAGTATGTCTTCAGAAGAAAAGTATGGCATGTCCCAGTAATCCCTGCCTGGTTTCGGGGCAAACTGTGTGGAATGTATTGGACAGAGACTGAAGGAGCATCTCATGAGAGTATTTATTAATTATGAGCATTTCTTCTTCTGCCCTAGCATGGAAGGTTCCATTGTGAATCTACCTGAGATTGTGGCTCTAAAGAAGAAATACAAGGCCTACCTCTACATAGATGAAGCACACAGTATTGGGTCTGTGGGCCCAACTGGCCGGGGTGTCAGAGAATACTTTGGTCTAAACCCTGAAGACATCGATGTGTACATGGGCACATTCACCAAAAGTTTTGGAGCCTCGGGAGGTTACATAGCTGGAAAAAAGGTAACAAAGGGACTCCTTGTGTCTTTTTGAAACCTGTGTCTGTTTAAAACCTGAACACCCTGGGGACATGATAAACATGGCTTCTCTGAATTTCGTAAAAGCTTCAGTTCACTTATCTGCCTCGTGTGATTGCTGCAACCCAGCTACAGTGGGGCCCAGCTACAATGTGCTCACTGGAAGGTGAGACCAGGAGTGATGAAGCTCATTTTCCAGTAGTGAAGAGGGGCCTTGGACACATAATCACATTATAATAAAATGATGCCAACAGTGGGCACAAGGTACAAATTACAAAGGAGAGAGAGAACCCTGCAGGGTAGTATTTGAATGTCCACTCTGTTGACTAATAATGGGTGGTTCTGTTACACAAAGACTAAACAGTATATACCTAGCTACAGAAGTCATAAGGAATGTTATGAAAACTATAAGAACTTTGGTCTTGATGGCATGAAAAATAAAGCAGGTAATAGCAGCAGTAGAAAAAGATCAGGTATTAAAGAAATTGACCCTGAGTGTTTTAAAAGTTTTAATCCAAAAAGTTGCAGGATCAGGAATGGATTTCTAAGACATTTTCCTCTGCACAATAATTCTTTTCCCACAGTGTTGGATAAGCCATGGGTCAATTCTCCTCATCCCTTAACACTTTATGTATATACCTAAAGAAGTCCAATCTGATGGGTTTTGACTGTAAATGAGTACTCTCCCTGTCGTTCTAGTGTCCATATCACCAAAGGGTTTGTGAATAGAAAACAAAAAATATTTGAAAGAATTTTTAAAGAAGAGGTAAACAAATATTCAAACCCAGGTTTGAAGGAAAAGGGGCCTTTTTCCTGTCTCTAGATACCCTTTGCCAATTACCTTACACAAGCCCACACCTGTCCCCAAGAAACTGTATGACAGTGGCAATGACTCCAATGGGTGCATGTGGCTGGCATAATTCCTTACCTATTGTCACCAGCAGGAGCAAAAGTTCAGGCTCCTGGTAAACCAGTCAGGCAAACCAAGGAGTGCAGTAGAAGGCAGTCCTTGAACATCTGTGATTTAAAACAACAGATTTCATTTTGGTCACTGCCTCAGCCATGAGACACACAGATGCTTAAAACGTTCAGTTTCAAGTGGTCTTTACTGATCAATAAGCATTGCCTTATTCCAGACTCCAAATGCTGTTTTCCATCCTCCCTACACTGACCTGTGGGAATTAGCTGGATAATGCTAAAAACACAGGGAATGCCCCAGGTCTCACAAACTTCAGCTAAATCTGGTGAAGGGTGAAATATCCCCTGCCTACCTGTCACAGCAGCGGGCACAGAGCATCTCAAATTGAGGAGCTCCCTTATCGAGGTTACGTTGCTCTTTGGGGTCGTGGTTTCATGATTACTTTAGCAGCAGTTCTGAGGTACAATGTGTTTAACCAAGCGTAACTCTTGCCTGCACCGAAGGCACCTGAATAAACTGATGCAAACAGATCCTTGAAATGTCAAATTGAGTAGACATCACACTTTTCTCCTTAGAGTGCTTTCATCTGATACCCACCTTACACAACGGCGCGTGACTCTCTGCTCTGAGGACCAGCTCACTCTGACTCTCTCTCATGCTCCCCATTTTGAGGTCACCTGGATTATTTTAAAAGTAGAGGAACTCTTGTCTACATAATTTCTCTTCATTTGGAGTAGATACTGAGAAATTGTGAAAACTGCATTAATTGGAATGCAGAAAGAGTATGTGAATTTGTTCCTCCCCTTTGAAATAGTCATTCTGTACCTTTTTTGGATACAAAGGGCACAATCATTCATTTCTCCTCTTCCCCCCTCCTTTTTTCCCCTCCCTATCCGTGTTACGTTGTAGTTTTTCAATTGACCACTAGATGGCAGCAGGAATTAGAACACATTTGATGGACGCTCTCAGGAGCCCTTCCTGAGATGCTTCACTACCCTAAAACAGCAAGATGTGAAACTGAACAAATAGGACAGTTTTCAAGATCTAGAGGGTGACCAGGAGTTAGAAAGGTACTTAAGTGCAGGTATTTAAATCATCCCCTGACGATTTAAAAGTCAAATACTCACCCATCTGAGACAATTTGGGTGAAATTGTGATAACCCCAGATAAATTGGTTTGTTTCCAGCCTCTGAAGTCACACAACTTGTTTATCTGTGCGTTTTCACCTTCAGGTTGTTAAATTACGTTCATTTTAAATTATATGTGGTTTCCATTTAAATCATATATTTGATTCTCCTGAATTTGGGATCATTTCATGAAGACTTTCATTGTGAGTCTGTTCTAAACTATGCTTTTTAGTTGAAAGGACAGAGGATTGGACAAACAGTAAAGGTTTTTATTTGAAAAAAATCTTTGTACTTATCTTTAAGTAATAAGAGTACAATTTTCAAAGTTTCAGAGCTTCATTATATAAATTATATATAATACATATATATGGATGTTTTGCAGTATATATCTCATGTTTTGGGAGTTACTACAAAATATCTAGGATTCTAAACTAATAGACACAAAAGTGTCAAAATTAACTATAAAAATATTAGAATGGACATTTTTCTGAAACTCTAATTTCAGTTTCACTATGTTCATGGGGTTCTTAGAAAATTCTGAGATTTGAGAATAATCATTTAGGGCCAAAAATCTGCAAGAAGGTAAGAATGGTCTAACTCTGAAGTCTCTTTTTAAATGGCCACATTAATATTGGCATAGAGGGACTATTTTCTCAATGAAGGTGTCTAAGTGGTTCAAGAAATCTCTGTGGAGTGGGTCAAGATCAGAGCTTTCTTTTACATTAGCAACCAGATGAGTCATGAAAGAAAACAAGATTTGGAAACAAGGGGAGAAAATATTGATTTGGTGCTAAATACCACTACAGAGAGCTGAGGTTCTTTGTTGACCTCAGCCTTGCCCTCGTAAAATGTCCTACAAATTCACCTCTGCTAACTAGAGCTTGCTGCTGGGCTGTGGCCTTCCTTCCCCACCTGTGGAAAACTGCTGAAATGGTTCCTGAGAGCCTGCAAGATTTTTCAATTTTGCTCACTCTGCATTCGGAGATGCACCATGAAGTCTACCTGGAGGACTCCATCCTTTCAAAACTTTCAGATAATTACTTGTCTGCACCATGACAAAGATCCATGTCATGAATGGCTATGAAGGAGAAGGAGAAGGAGAAGGGGAAGGGGAAGGGGAAGGGGAGGAGGAGGAGGAGAGGAAGAGGAAGAAGAGGAAGAGGAAGAAGAAGAAAAAAGAAGGAAGAAGAAGAAAAAAGAAGTAAGAAGAAGAAGAAGGAGAAGGAGAAGGAGAAGAAGGAAGCCTGAGTTGATGGGTCTAGGTTTCCTTTTTTCTTTTTTAAACTTTTTATATGCCCGGTTCCTGGGAAGTTATGGCCAACACTGCAGAGATACCACCCTTCTCTGATTATGGATCTGGAGTCCTCCTGGGTGCCTGCTGCTACCCTCTGGCTTCCACAGCCTCCTTGGGCTGACCAGAGACTTACAAATGAATAAAGCAAAGGTTGCCCTTGTGACTGATCAACTGCAGAGCTGGAATTCTGGAGAAGGAAGTGGGACAGAACAACCAAGTTTGAAGTGATCATTAGCCAAGCAGCCTGCAGGCCGGGCAAAGACAGGCCACTTGCAGAAGCCGGCTCTGCCCTAGTGTTCTCAGCCCTGACTGTATTTAACAGCCCTTTGAAGTAAATAGGGGTCATGGAGTGAGTACCAAGATGTTTATTCTAAGAGCCTCCTGTTTGATTTCCTCCCAAAAACCCGCCCTTGCCCTTGAACTCCAGGCCTATGGGTAAAGAAAATAATCAGGGTTTTGAACTTACAAATGGACTTTGAAACCTCAATCTGAGGATCCCTGTATCCCACCCCCAGGAAAGACACAACCCAGTCTAGCCTTGCAAAAGACCAAGTCCACTCTTAATTGATGGCTCATGGCGCCAGGAACAGTAACAAAGGAAGGGAATCAGGAAACAAGAACAGAGGCTTTCCTTAATACTCTCCAGGAGTCACTCAAAAGCCCCACCTTCTGAGTCACACCAGCTAGTGAGCCCCCACCTGCAACCTCTGACTCTGGGAGACAATGGACTCTTACCGAGGAACGATACTGTGGGACAGCCTTCTGGCCAAAAGAGGTGAAGTTGTGCTAATGAGCTGCATACTCCAACTAAGAATGCTCATGACTGACTTTCTGACATTACTCAACCTGTAAAGGAAAATTGGGGTTGGGGACAATGGGGATCAAAAGAAGCTTTGTGATATTTCCTTTTCTGATCTTGGCCAGTGATGCTTCTCAGACTCTCACTATACTTGTTCCTAGGAGTGCAGCTTTGTGCTCCCTCATATATGACACCAAGGCCTCTCCTTCCTCCTTCTTGAGACCAGGGGAGGTGTTCTACACTTCTCTCAAACTCAAGTGCCTTTGAAGAAGCAAAAGTCATAGACATGAAACATTTTTAAAACTGATTGGAGTCAGTCTAAACCAGTCCTCTAGGTGTAGTTGATTATATCAAGAACTCCTACTCCTTTTCTCCCCACTAAAATGGAACAGCATCTGTGGATCACAGAAACCACTACCAGGTAAGTAGAAGTTGAGTTGATTTCTGAGCTGTCTTGGAACAAACTCACCCCAGCTCGAGGCAACCCCACTCAGTTTGGTTTGGAGACAACAGTGAGTGCAGTGCTCCATGCGTGAACTGTAGGGCCAGGTGCTTTGAGTCGAAATCCTTGTCCTACCAAGTTTTGTGAATAATTTTCTAAACTTCTCTGTGAATCAGTTATCTGATCTTTCCAATAGGGTACTTCCTGGTCCCTACCTCATAGAGTTACTGTAGAGCATAAATGAGTTAATGCATCCAAAGTTATTTAAACGAAGCCTCAAACAGCCAATGAATATCAACCATAATGCTAGCCTCTAGCCCCATTGTTCTTTTCAGAGTCAGTCAGCCCATCAAGTCTGGACACTCCTTTCTTGATAATGCTTTTTCTTTTCACTCTTACTGCCACCACCCCATGAAAGATGAGGGAAGAGCTCAGCTAAGTATCTTTGGTTTGATGTCTGGAGCTGCTCATGTAGTTATATAAACTTAGACCATTGCCCCTGAAAACTAAGGAAGCTGGAACACAGATATTCTGATAGGGTTTGTACTCTGCAGCCCTCCTTCTGCTCATATCTAAGAATTTTTGAATTGGCAACCATTCAATAATCACCACTTATAGCAATAACAATAATTGCCAGCTACATCAGGTATTCACAGTGTACTACTTTTCTTAGCACCATATATGGATTTACTTATTTGATCTTCCTGACTCTAAATTAAGGCACAAGGCCTCCTCGATTCATCTACATCTTGATGGAAGGGCCTGCAAAGTTGGGTTACAAAGATGCATGGATACAGAGAGTGGAAGAATTACCACCACTTTTTTGCAAACAATCAAATATACATGCTTTCTGCTTTTCTTGCTTCTGTATCTTTAATTTCTCCCTTGTTCCACTCCTTTCAAGTTTTCTTTTCTTCTTCATCTGTCCTAATTCTTCAATGTTTAATCTATCTCATCTCCACACTGGAATATTCCCTACCAATCCCAACTAGCAGCACCCTCTATTTCCTCTGCATCTTGCAGCCCTGCTACATACACTCATTTTCATGTACTGTTAGTTTTCATACTCATTTTGCACGTGCTTTTCCATGGACACAATTATATGCAATATTTTCAAGAACAAAAACCACAAGTTGTACTCTCTGGACACTTCTGAATACTAAATTAGTGCATGCCCATAGAAAGTACTCAACAGATATTTCAGAAATCACTTTTTTTCTTCACATCTCTATTTTTGCCTTAGAGACTTCAACTCTAAATTTGTCACAATCCCCACCTCCTGTACAGCTTATAGGCTTTGAAGGACAGACTAAAAACAAGGGGATAAAAAAAATGAGCAGTTGGCAATGCTATTGAAAGGTGTTCCACATTTTTTTTTTAGTTGCATGAATCAAATGTCTTTTATTATTTGAATGGGAAAAGGACTAGATGTGATTCTCATCAGCAATACTGAGATTTATTTGCTACCTTTCTGGGTTTCTTCCTTTACTTAAGGATCTTGTGGATTATTTACGGTTTAACTCACATAGTGCTGCTTATGCTGTATCCATGAGCCCCCCAGTAGCAGAGCAAATCATCAGATCACTGAAATTACTCATGGGACTGGATGGGACTACACAAGGTAAGAAGGTCTTGAGAGACCACCACTCCCATGATTCCTCTCCCAGAATTCTCTTTGTTAATCTGCCTCCTTCTCAAATACACACCTTTGTCTAAGGCACCCAATCTTGTTAAATGTATACCTTTGTCTTATGAAGCCCAATTTTTACATAAAGACATGCTACATGTACTAGAATTGCTTTGTTTCTTTGTTAAAGCAAGGAAAACCCTCTAATTCACCTCTTAAAATGATTAGCAAATTTGGATAATTTTATGTAATCAATTATGTAAAAATAAACTCCATGTGTGCGTGTGTGTGTGTGTGTGTGTGTGTGTGTGTGTTCCTGTGCTTGCTTGGGGATGTCTCTTGTGTTTCCCTGAAGCCAAAGTAGTCAATTTAATATTCAATTTTTAAATTATTTTATATTTTTTACAGCCAAAGTTTAGACATGGAAAACCACCAGGGCCCATTTGAAGACCTATGGGTAAAACATACATAGCTTCCCAGTCATTTCTTTGCCATTCAGTCACCTCAGCTAAAATGTGCTACTTTGCTGAACCAAAATGAATTAAATCTCTTTTTTTTTTGTACCAGGGATTGAACTCAGGACCTTGCCTTTGCCAGGCAGGTGAGGTGCCACTGAGATAAATCCCCAGCCCTTCTTTTTGAAGAATTGTTTCATCAAAGTCTCTTAGAACTCCCCTTCTTCTATTTTAAAATCTACTTTGTAGAACTTCTACTACTACATGACACACACAGGTGGAGAGACAGTGATGAGTAAAGCAGTTCTTTCTGCCAGGCAAGCTAGTGAGTGCATTTATGGAAGTAGCAAATTATACTGACCCTATAACTGGCCACTGGACTATGAAATCCATGTGCCCCATCCCACCACCTCTGGGCTAATATAAAGTCCTCCATTATTTAGTGCAAACTTCCAAACCTATTTTCAGTAGACATATGAGAATATCAATAATTTTCCAATGCCACTAAAGCTGCAGAATACTTTTCCACAAATGTGTTTTGCAAGAAACCTACTACAGGGGCCAGGGATTTAGCGCAGTGGTGCCACACCTGCCTTGCAAGTGCAAGGTCCTGAGATCCTGAGTTCGATCCTCAATTCTGCAAAAAAAAATAAAATAAAATAAAATAAAAAATAAAAAAGAAAGAAAGAAAAGAAACCTACTACAGGTCACGCATCCCATTCAGAAGTTTGAAATGCTCCAAGATCTAAAACTTTTTGAACACTGATGTGACACCATAAGCATAAAATTCCGCACTTGGCCTCATGTGATATGATTCAACCAAAATGCAAGAGCATTAAAAATATTGTATAAAATTACCTGCAGGCTACATGTATATGAAATATAAATGTGTGTTTAAATGTGGGGCCCATTCTCAAGATATTTCATTCCAAGCCTTTTTTAAAAATCTGAAATCTGAAACACTTCTGGCCTCAAGGTTTTTAGAAAAGGAACAACCTCCAGGCTGCCATCTGTCCCACCACTCCCAGCCCAGGGGTAGGGGCTTCTAAGCAGCCGTCCCACTGCTCCTGGCCCAGAGGAAGGGGCTTCTGGGCCACCATCCAGCCTGACACTCCTGGCCCAGAGGAAGGGGCTTCCGGGCCACCGTCTGTCCTGCCGCTCCTGGCCCCTGCCCCACCTCTCCCAGCTCAGAGGAAGTGAGCAGTGCGGGTGCCAACAGAAAAGGAACAACCAATATCCCTTATATTGGGCAGATAAGACAAGAGTGACCTGATTGAATCAGTGTCACTGCTTCTGTACACTGATAGCACCAAGGCCCTGTGCTGAACCCCGGTGCTCCCCAAGATACTTAAAAAACTACAAGTTACAACTTTTTTTTCACTAGAGCAGAAAAATGACATAAAAGAGAATTTCTTTTCCTCCATACAAAATGCAATGTTTGGTTGATCTCTAAGGTCTTTCTAGGATTGCCTTTGGGTTTATCACTCTGCATCTTGCTAAAATAAAATCCAGTTTAGGGAACCCTGATGATACAGAGTGTAGGCAGGATTTGACTTCTGGGATGAGTTTATTACTATGTGGTCTTAGGCAAATAACCTATCTCTTCAACTTTGGGCAAGTTACTTAACTTTTCTGTGTCTCAATCCCTTCAGCTATAAAATAAGGAAAATAATATTTTCATGTCAAGGTTTTGTGAGAATTAGTTGTCAATCCATGTAAAATACTTTAAAAATTGTGCCTAGAAACAATTATTGATAAGTGCTGTATAATTGCTTGCAACTGTTATTTGCTGCTGTCCCTGAGGGGTTTGCAAAGCATTCGAACACTTCTCAAGGATGCTATAGGAAGGGTAGTTATGGTAGAACTGAAGTAGAACTAGATAGCCAAGGTCCTGAACTACTCAGGATAAGGTAGGTGAGGCCACCTTAACAAATAAACTTGAAAATCCCAGTGGCTTAACAGAACCAAAACCTATTTCCTGCTTTCACCAACGCTAATAAAATCAGTCAGTTCTACATAGTTCTTGTGTATGAGGGCAGTGGCTCTGGCTGCTTTCAGCTTGAGATGTGGCCACATTGACACAGGACCTCCATGGCCACCAAAGTAGAGAGAAAGGGAAGGACAGCCTGGAAGTGATATTTGTCACATTGCTTACAGTCTATTGGCCAAAATCCTTCACATGGCCATGACCCAAACAAAATATGCTGGGTGGTAAATTAAGAGATATGAATACTGGATTAACAGGTACTGTCCAATCTTTTATCACTGAAGCTATATAGAGCTGTGTTAATTCCCATATGAACCAGCAAGTTGTATTTTAAAAACTGATCTGAAATCACCAGCTTTCCATAAAGCCATATTAATTATTTTATTGAACTTCAAGCACTTCTTAATGAAAAATCAATAATTTGAGATGTAAACAAAATTACAGGTGAATTGTCTCATAATGACAAGTATTATCCTTTGGTCTTATTTTAACATGAGGAATTAAGGAAAAAGTCATTTTGAAAATTAGCCCCGGTCTCAACAAGGATTTTCACTGATTTCTTAAACCCTTTAGTGTATATGTTCTCAGAATAAATAGATTCATATGTGTGCAACTTTGCAACTGTTTCCTTCCCTCCTCTGGATAGGTTTACTCTTCATCACAAACCCAACTCACTCTGTTTATCTGATAAGAGTTGAAGATCTGCAGAAAGATTTCACTTAAAGATATGACGATTTGTCTGTCAACAATCATCCATCATCAATTTTTCTTACCCTCAGTTGGGATAGTTCTCTTCCCTCTCTTAGCCTTGTAATTAAGGAATTATTTTGTTATTATTTTCAACCTCATAGTTAAAGTTTCTCACTTTACTCCTCTTGCCATTTTAGCAAGGGAAATAAAAAAGCAGAAAATGTCATGTGTACAGTCTATTTTCTTAGAGCCAAGATAAGAGAATTAAGAAGAAAGATTGACTGTTTCTTTTCAAAGAAACAAACAAAGGAAAACAGCAGAAAAGCAAATCGACAGACTCATCAGCCAAGTTTCAGGTGGTCCCAGCTGGCACATCTTTCAAAGAATCCAAAAGCACACAGTGAGCAATCACACTGGCCTCATTTAACAACAATGCCTGCTTTAAATAAAATGAACGAGACAGGTTAGGAGTGCTGCATTAGCTTACCCCTTTCTACAGAGATAGACTGACTCATGGGGTAAAGTTGCCCAGTGCTCAAAGGGATGCACTGTGTCCTGCTAGAGCTGCCTGACAGGATCTGAGAAAACGGAGCCTGGCTCCAAGCCTTCATCTCCAGCCCACTCCACTGCAACTGTGACTGGAGCCTTTCAAGGCTTTGTCTTGGGTCGAGTTTGAGGAGTGGTTGGCCAGATCTGTTCCTTGATGAATGTCTTCACTTTAATCTGCAATGCAAAGCCATACGCTTCAAAGAAAGGCAAGCTACAGGAATAAGGTCAGTATTCCTTTGATGCCAAGGTTCAAAGATGAAATAGCAGTCCCAGTGAAATGACAATGTTTATGCACAAACAGCCACCTCCACTCTGCATCCCGGGCTGCTGGTGGAGTTAATGCACTCAGGGTGAGGGGCTGCAGGCCGGCTGTGCATGCCATATGCACCAAGGCCCTTTTAATCTCCCAGCCTGTCACTCTGAGCAGTGCAATGAGCCCCAAGTGGAGATTTGATTTCTCCATCCTAATGGATGTTGGGTGGTCCCCCAACCAAACCAATGCTATAAGCCCCTTAAGGGCAAGAAATATGTCTTGAATTAATTTGGTGTTCCTCTGAGTGTCAAACTCAGTACTCAGCCTAATAAATATGTCATGACTCAACTTCTGTCTCATGAGCCTGCTGGATTTCAGGTCAGTGTTTATGCTACATGGAGATGTTCATCTCCTAGGACTGGGAGCTGGGAATCAGTGATGCCAGTGGTGGTGGCTGATGGGATCACTCAGTGAGTGAGGTTACTTTTGGAGAAGCCTGGGGAGATTGCAGCTTAGTCTTTTTCTTCATTCCGCATGGTGCAAGAGCCCCAGGAGGGTGAGCCACAAACCACACCAGCTCCCCCAAAGGAGGCATTGTCAACAGTTGTCTCACTTTGTTGAAATCTTTGATGCACATTTTTCAATTAATCAGTCAACGTTCTTTTTCAACTCCCAACCTTGACCCTGCCTCTCTACAGCCCCTTTCCTCGACTCTGAGCAACTGTTCATTTCTCAGAGAAATGAGAGGTGGAATTGCATGGATAATAGGGGGTGAGCTCTTTGGCCAGACCTACCGTTTGCTCCATGACCGGCAAGTTGCTGGCCTTCTTAGCCTCAGTGCCTCCACTGACAGTTGAGGACACTGGGAGGATTAAATGATGTGACACTGTAAATGTAGCATTATCCTTGATACACAGTAAACATTCGATAAAGTTACTATTACTTTTAACTTGTCTGCTTTCTTCCCTTCCCTTTCCAAATTTTCCAACAGCTTTTGCCAATCTCAGAATTCTCCCCTGCTCTCAAACCTGATACCTATTCTATCCACATTTCTGCAGCA